ATCTCCATCGGACATTTGGTAGTTTCGTAATTTCTACTTGTTTTCCTTTTTCCAGTTAGAAGAATTCATGTAGGGTTGAACATACATTTCCAAGCATAAAACTAATTAAGTTAGCGTAACGTTGGACAATTTCTTGAAATTAATAGAGTAAATTAAAATAAATAGCATAAGATACCCGCGCTATACTGTGGGGTTAAAAGGTCCCCCAAGATTCATAAAAACTTAATTTACCGATCAATCTCCTCCATTATTCCCAATTGCTCTATAGCTACTCCAAGGTGGAAGGACCAGTAGCCGAAAAAAAGCCCCGTTAGAACCCTCCAACCGTGGTCCACTAGCTTGTAAGTTGGGGGGGGGGGTACGATGACATTTTGAAACATGGCGCCCTCGGGATCCTGAGAGGGAGGATAGCAACACAGATTTCGATGCTGGATTGAGGTTCAGCAAGAACCGAGAACAGAGACCTTCATCTTACCTGAGTGACCAATTAGGCGCGTTTTAGACACCCTGGGTACCCTCTTGATTGGGGTTACGCGATATAGATAAGCACACACCCCAATCTCTTCGTGTATAGTCCTGCTAGCTTCAAACCTGCGGGTTCAGTTCCAGGACCAACCAACAAACAAACAACAGAATTAATATAGGATGGTTAAATCGTTAACTTGCAAACAAATTCAGTGTTACTGTGATGGTTAAATAAGGCGTGTGAATACCTTTTTGTTCATGAACTCATACATATTATATCTGGCTAATCTATATCTAGTTAATTGTGTTATAACACTACTCTGAGATAATATTTCGCTTGTTAGTGATCAAAATAATTAGCTTCCCATACAGCTACAAGATTGCATTTCAAGACAGTTTAGATGAAGAAAATGTAACCTTAACTTTTACCTCATGCATTAAACTTAATAATGAGTTAGTTTTATTTTTATTTTATATCCCAGTGATTAATAAGTAAAGAGCAAGATGTGTATTTTCCAGAAAACATATGATTTCAGTGACAAAAGCTTATGAGCAAAATATACAAAATTTGTTTTAAAAAAATCTGTTAGTATTCGAGAGTGAAAGAGCTTATGATGTCATAATAGCAGATTGCCAATTATCATTAATCCTAGTAAACATTCATGTCATATATTATTTGGAGATTTAGCGAAATATAACAAACAATCTTGCTAAAATGCTATTTCACTGTATTATGAAAGGATCAGGGAAATCAATTTCAAGAATAGCTTAAAGTAATTTCCGTTATTCTAAAATTATAAAATGTGTATTTTATGCATGGAGTGAAACTTTAAAGCTACTTATTAAAACATGTTCAATATTACTTCGAAAACCAATTTCTGATATTTTAATAGTGTAATATATAATATATTTGCTTAGATAAAAATCTCTGTAATGGCAAACTTTCCTTTACTACATCGATTGTAAAATATCAGCCTATCAACAAACCTCGAACACGAAGATTACTAGGTTTAGGTCAACGCATTAGGCTAACGTACAAATAAAAAACCAATAAAATTAACATAAAGCTGCTCATTAAGAAATGTCTACTTTCGAAGAAGGCGTAAAGTCATAAAACTTGTGTTTGTTTTTCAAGTTCGAGCAAAGCTACACGAGGGGTATCTGCGCTAGCCGTTCGTAATTTAGCAGTGAAAGACTAGAGGGAAGACAGCTAGTCATCAGCACCCACCGCCAACTCTTTTACTAACGAAAGTGGGATTGGCCGTCACAATATAACGCCTCCACAGCAGAAAGGGCGAACTTGTCTGGTGGGACGGATATTCGAATCCGAGACCCTCAAATTACGAGTCTAGCGCCCTAATCACCTGTCCATGCCAGGCATCAGACTTGTGCCCTAGATGATATAAACACATGGTTTAACCGTATTCCAAGTGTTACCATTCCGTTAAAAATGTATAATACAATTGTACAAACTTTCTACTTTATTTTGTCAACACAGTCCAGAAAAAATATTACAAGCGTTGCAGTATATGCGCTGCTGCTGTACTAATAATCAATTTGAGTGTTGACATATTTCGTGACATATGTATTTTTATGTCATTCCTATATATTACTTAGTGATCATGAATCATTTTGTTTTGCTATGAGTCAGATCATTTTATGAAACCTGATCTACCTTCGAATTCACATTGACAAAATAAAATAGAAAGTGACAAGTTAGCCTTACCAAATTTTTATACCGGTATAAAATTGAAGGCACTGCTATGCTAGTCTTGGAGTGTTTTATGCCATTTTTTGTACTCCTTCAAAAAGATAGAAATAACTTAAACATCAGGCACATTGAACATCTAAGTAATCCTTCTAATAAGGTTTTTAACTCTTTTTGTATGTGTATAAAAGTTGAATGACTTTTATAATACAAATACTAGGGGCCTTTTCTATTTCAAAAAACGTAACTGCGTCTTACGTGCCAAGATTTGTATACTGTTGATATTGGAGTATGGATTCGTGTAATACCCTAATATTGTCATCTTTGCAATACGGCTGAGATAAAAGTTTTTATATTCTAATTATATACCACAAAAGTTTTTTTATTTTTTTCATAAATGCAATATCTCATAAATATATGGTATATAAGGTAAACATCATAATATTAGATTATCAGGAAATGTGACAAACACAAATGCAGCATTATTAGTATACCTGTTACCTATGACATGAGAATAATATGACGTTTTGATTAGCTCTGCCGAAAAAAAATTACTCGAAGATCGAAACTTCAATTACTATCAGCGCATGAACATACATCACAATGGCATAAAGGCTGAACAAGAAAGGATACTGAAAGATAAGAAAATTAGGATCACAAAAAGTTGTAAAGGATGTAAGGGAAGTCTCTTTTGCAAATTAGCAACTCTTTAGCTTCAGAGAAATTATATATATTACTTTCTACTCCCCGCATCTTTCTGAAAACAATTATAATTAAACTTAATGTTTTAGAATAAAAAACTAAAGAAGTACCTCAAGGCTAGTATATAACGGCTGTTTCACATATTGTGTTTTCTTGCAATAATTACTTGTTGTGTCAAAGACAGCCCGTAAAGTACTGACGGTTTAAAATATCAAGACCTAAAGCTGTTCATCAAACAGCTTCCAATTTATTTAAAACGAAAAAAAAATCACGAACAGCATTTTGTTAATTCAAATCCCCCATCGATGACATCATCCAAATGACAAATTTAATATTCTATTGTGTTCTTTTGCAATAATTACTTGTTGTGTCAAAGACAGCCCGTAAAGTACTGACGGTTTAAAATATCAAGACCTAAAGCTGTTCATCAAACAGCTTCCAATTTATTTAAAACGAAAAAAATCATGAACAGCATTTTGTTAATTCAAATCCCCCATCGATGACATCATCCAAGTGACAAATTTAATATTCTATGGAACAAAAGTGTTTTTTTCTGTTGTATATTTTTAAGCTTCAAAGTTTCCATTCTAACTATCATGACAGCATCGACAATTCAATGGTGCTCAAATGACATCCTTTATCTTAAAAGCCAGCCGTTATCCATGTAAGTAAATCTTCGTGAGATAAGTGTCTTTGCATCATTGATAACATTATTTGGTAACTGACAGAAGCCTTTTCGACCACTTATTCTAGCATTCAGTACTTTCCCATTATTATTATACAAGCCAACATCTTGGGATCCTATATAATTGTTAAGAAATAAAACAAAGTAAAACAATTCAATAAGTAAACTTAATAATTATTTTATGCGATTTATTATGTGATACCAAGATCAACGAGAATCTTTGTTCGAAAATCAAATGAAAAAGAAACAATCTAGCTTTAAAAATGTTAGGGTATGAGTCAACGGGAAATGTTTGTAAACTCTATAGATATAAGTTAAAGTTTAGAAAATATCAAGACACAACATTCTACAGTTGTGTGTTTCTACAGTATATTCACGTCAAACTAGTAAAGACAACAATGTTGTGTTTTAAACTAGCCTTTTGGTTTTGTACATTTGTTTCAAATCATATTGTAGCTTTGGTGGAAATTAACTTATTCTATATACAATTTCACTTTTATTATAATCCGAGATAATATTTACTGTTGTCATCCGCAATACATATCACCAGATTGAGCGGCGTGACTTGTTATTTATTTGGTTGGTTTAGGTTTAGATTTCTGAGAGAACAATCATATCATGACTCTACTATGCTGTGGTGAGAAGATTGTGTGCTCTAATGTTTACTATAAATAACACAATGTCAGAAAGTAGCTTGTTTATTAAATTATATGAACCGTCTTCTTCAGACATTATAAACACTCAATCGTTGGTGTGAATGCGTGAAAAATTACGCTCTAGTTGTATGACTAAATAACCATAAAGCTAATAATATACGGTTTCAGTTATTTTACTGACTTAATTACGTTTTTTTAAAAACAGAAAGAGAGAGAGAAATGTTTTCTATAACTAATTTCAATTCGTAGGAAAGCATATAGTAATGTATGTAAAAGTTATTCCACCATTTTTTTGTCTTATTATATATTAATATTTGTATGTGTATGATTAGGAAAATATCTGAAGTAACTTTTAATAATTTATAAGTCCTTACTAATACATTACTATTCTATTAGACTCAGTTATTGTGTCCTGAGCTTAAATTTCAATATAAAATATCACATTTGTTCAAAACACTGGCGAGTATATCCAATTGAAAGACTTCATCGTTCAAACTTGGTTGCGTCACATACATAACTGAAGTAGGTATTCCGTTAAAAATTACTAATCTCTCATGATTTTTGTTCCAGAAAAACCATAAATTGAATCTGTAAGGACGGGAAAAGATTTTTAAAGTTTTTTTAACGGTATCTGTTGTTGAGCGGGTTATTTATATTATTTGGTAAAAAGGAGAATGCAAAGTCTATTCCACTTAACGATAAGAAAATCGTTTTTTTTACCTTCAAGTTCTACAGATAGCCCATTATGTAGCTTTCGTTAATTACAGCAAAACAAACTCCATACCTCTTTCAATGGTTGCGCTTTTTGATATTTGACATACTGGAGCAAATATACTTCAGTTCATTGCTTCATCTCATTCGCTGGACAAAAGGAGTACAGATACTACAAGAAGAGGACCGTAATGTACAGGTCATAGGTTAACTGCTTTCTATTCAAGAAAATATTGCTGAAGTATACAATACTAGGAATTACTACTTTTCTAAGATAGTTGTATAGTTTGTTAATTATTTTTAATTTCCTTGTATTGAGATTGAATATTACTTTACACATTTTTAGCAAGTTTTCTCCGAAAAACACACACATATAAAAAACAGTTTCAATAGATTAAACGAACTTATTTATCAAACTCTTGGTTTGAACATAAGACACGATAATGATTAAGATGATTTAAAATTAAATTAAATTTGCAAATGAATTACACAAATATACTGCAGACTATGCTTTGATTAATGTCATTGTAATCAATCTAAAAACAAACAAAATATTATTTTAAGTTTTATAAGCGTAATAAAGTAAACATCAGGATCGTATTGTGTTATACAACATAGAATATTGTGCACGAGAGACCACCATTCAGTCTACTGTGCAAAAAAGATGTCCATGATGCAACATAGCAATAATGCCAATTGAAAACCCTTATTTGTTTAAACACTATCCAAATTTTGTGTTTAGCTCAAATAAATACTAAAGATTGAGATGTAAAATTTCAAAATTGCTCACTGTTATCTTTCTGAAAACTAGGGCATGTAGCTTTTAAACATTGTAATGTTGTGGCGTCCAATATCAATATTTATCAATTTTCTATTGTTAAATAGTAAAAAATAACATTTTTCCTTTGAACAAAATTGATCAAATTTTCTACAGTCTGTGGCTCTATGACTTTTCTACTTTCAAATACGAAATACGGCTGGAAGACGCACATTTTCTAATGAAGTAAGACGTAGTAACAGCTTTTATATAAACAAAACATTTCTGCAGAAATGAAAGTATCAAAAACTGGATTTCAAAAAAATATTCAAAAGATACAATTAACCTGAGGACTTCAGATCAAATGTTAGGAAAATTAAGCTTACTTCACTCAGATACAGACGTAAATCTAGCAGCTGCCTTACTGCAGAACTTCCATAAACTACTTGTGTCAGAGTGGACTCTTCCGCAATGCGACGCAAATTGTGTCAAGAAGGGCTGAAGAGGTGCATTGCAGCAATAAAACTTTGTTCCGGATAGGCAACAAACAAAAGAGTTATAATTGGATAACCTGTATGTGGAGAAGATTACTTTGGTCTAATTAGTAAATTTTTTAGCATGCTGGAAACAACAGACGCCAGTTTGTTGGATGCAGTAGTAGTGAGAGATTATTGTCTGCAGCCTTCAGTTAAGCAAATAGTTTGGTAATAATTGTTCAATAATTTTTGTTTTAATAAGCTCCCTTCAAACTTTAATAATAAAGTAATTTTTACCATATGTTTCTCTAATGGTTATGGCGCTCGACTCGCAATCTACGAATCGCGGGTTCGAACCCACGTCACCGAATATGCCAGCCCTTGTAACAGTGGGGGCGTTATAATATTTTGATCAATCCTACTATTTGTTGATAAAAGAGCAGCCCAAGAATTAACGGTAGGTGATGTTGACTAGCTGCCTTCCCTTTTGCCTATCACTGCTAAAATAAGAACGGCTAACGCAGATAGCCTTCGAGTAGCTTTTCAAATCAAACCAAACCATTTAAACAAGGTGGAGGAGATACCATCCAAGTAAGGGTCTGTTTAACCACAACTGGAGTTGGTTATCTCTACCGTTCTGCCGCATTGATGGATTTCCTGGATTATACCCGATATATGTAGATACTCATTAACTATGCTGTTCTCTCTTTAGACGTTATTAAGCAGGAGAAAGTTCATTACACAGTCTGATAACGATCCCACACATACAGCGAATGCATAAAACAAAAAGCAGATGATGCCTTTACATGCTTAGTGTGGCCTCCACAGAGCTCGTGCATCACTCTTGTCGAATGTGTGTGGGACTAACTTGATTAAAAAATACAGTCAAGGTAGTCGAAATCAAAAGTACTTATGCAGTACTTCAAAGACACATGAAATTCAATGTTTACTAAGGATATCCATAAGTTTGAAGAAACATTCCTCATTGGCTTTCAGGCGATGATTTCAATTACAAATGATCAAACAAATATTAATGAAACAAACGCTAAATTTGCCTTATATGTGTTTGTTTTGCCTTCAGACGTTATAACGTTTTGAAATTTCTGAATTAAAAGGTATTCAGAATATTCTGAATTTAAAATACGTGGTGATAACTGAATGGTCTAATTTGAGCAAAGTTCTGTACATCCTATGTTTACATGCTTTCTTACTTTATGTTTGAAGAAATATTTTGCTAATGAAAGTTATTAATTTTCTTTTTATACACTTAGTCCAATGACGGCAAGAAAAGTTAAAGTTAAATCTAAACAACAAAGGAGTGGTATATATATATATATATGTATATGATTAGTAAAGTAGGTTAGTAAAGAAAAATCATTTGAAATATATGAAGTTTGAACTAATATCATAATAATTAGAGATTAAAAAATCAGTTAATATTACTAAATCTTTCAATTCATTAAAACTACACTATAAAAGGAAACTGAACAAAACATTAGCGAGTGACGAACCTGATATCAGCCAGTAGATACAAAACAACGGGTCTTTGTTGAGCTCACAGGATAAAGAACGTGTGAACGACCACACAACTCTGTGAGAAAGGACCGAGAACTTTACATTGAAGAATAAGTGTTAAACTGATACGTTTCTCTTTTATTCGCTCTCTTTACTTGTGGATAAGGATGATAGAAATGAAAAATGCAGCAAGTGATTAAATTACGCTGTAACCACAAGTGAAGAAGACGAATGTTGAACTAATCCCTTAAACCTCATTATTATCTCCAATCTTCAAATAATGCTATTTTTTTAACATTTTTCTTAGTTAAATTTATTTTTAAAACAATAATAATGGTTCATATTAAGGAAAAACGTAAATCTATAGAATATAGAATAACCTTGAATAAAAATAATGAATTGCATTAATGAGAATTTGTATTTATTTTCAGATGCGTTTTATGTTTAATTTGTTTAGTAATTACGGATGAGAAACTGACGCGTAGCACAAAATATTAAATGACGAATCAAACTCTTTGAAACTTGTTTTAGCCTGCTATTACTAGATAACCCAGCAATATATTTTTTATGTGTTTATCGAGAAACAGCGTTTATTATTATAACTGTAATCTAATATTTCAATTGGTGAAACTTTAGAAATGGTTTCCAAAATGTAGTACTTAAGTATTTGCATATAACTCATATTTACTTTTACTTTAACAAGCTCGATTTTATACGTTTATACGTTTAACGTTTATGGTTATATTAAAGCACAATAAGTTAGGATGGTAATATACAGACACAAAGTTTTTATAACACATGCAGATGTCAGATTATCTTCATTTATAGAAACCACACATCACTGAAGTCTTAGTTTATTAAAAATAAAAATTATTATTTAGCAAAAAATAAAATATTGTTCAATCATACATAATAAACTGTAAATTTATGGTACGTGTTTGCATTGAAATTAAAAAACGACCTTATAGTTTTACGTTTTTATCCTTCTACTCAATTAGAACTGAAATCCCCGCACATGCCCTAATGGTTAGCATGCAAGGATTGTGAATTTGAGAGTCTACAGTTCGCGTGTCGTTGCAGCAAAAACGACTCCGCAGTTAAATCCCATTATTCGATCAGCCAAAACTCTATCAGTTCAAACTTAGTAAAGATTATGTGCGTATTGTCCTTGTGTATTGTTCCGCAAAAATTGTAAAACGAACATATAATTACAACTAACTAGATATAAATAAAAAAATATATATATACAATATATTAACTGCTTGCTTCAACTTAAAGCTTAATAAAGGATGATTTAAATGACTAACCGGTTTGTTAAGATTAAACTGTCCTAAATAATTGGTTACTTTCAACCAATTCTAATGATTAATGGAAGTATTATTTTGGACGAAATTTAAGTTAATCAGAATAATAAATTAATTTATTGATACTATGTTTCTTTTTAGTTGATCACAAAGCTACACAATGGGCTATCTGTGCACTGCCCACTACGGGTATCGAAACCCGGTTTCTAGCGTTGTAAGTCCGCAGACAAACCGCTGTGCTAGTGGGAGGATTTGTCGAAACTAATCAACCCTCTTGGCTCATATAGAACTGGCGATTGTTAATTATAATTAAGATGTTTTAAGTATTACTGTTAAGTTTGTTTGTTTGTTTATAATTATGCACAAAGCTACTCAAGGGCTATATGTGCTCTGCCCACCACGGGTATCGAAACCCGGTTTCTAGCGTTGTAAGTCCGCAGACATACCGCTTTGCCACTGGGGAGCATTACTGTAAGAAAACATACATTATTTTAAGTATTTCAAAACAATTAAAGTCGTGAATTTTGTTTATATAGAAGATCCTTAGATTTTTATTTAAATTAAGTAAAGCGTTTTCAAAAGAAATACATATTTCAACTTTCAACTGAACAGGTATTGTTTTTTTTTATTATTATTAAATATTTTGTGAGTGTGTGTGTCATATGATGAAAAATATTCAATGTAATTTTGAGAAACAGTATTCACTATAATGCTATAGTTATACGTAAACTCTCACAAGACGAATATTAACGTCGTATTTATTAAAATCCCACATATCCAATCTAGCCTGACATGTAGAATGAAATTCGAAATTCATAGGTTTAGATTTAAAATCAGGCGTGGAGGCTCACCACAATACATACAGCTAGTTGTGAAAATGTAGTGTTTTTAATAATTAAAAAAAAAGAGTTGAATTGAAAGAGAAATAAATGAAACTAAATACATATTAAATATTTTAATTGAGTGATTAAAGGCGATCCACTAGAGTGATTATGAAAATTTGTCTTCTGATATTGTAATTCCAATCACATAATGATTCCATGGCCTTATGAACAATATAATGAAATCAAAGAAATAAGCAAATCATGATTCGGTTGGGAAAATCCTAGTGGCTAGCGTGCCTGGCTGAAGAGCGGAATGTGTTTAAGGTTCGAGCTGCGATGCCGCTGAACACGCACCGTTTTTTCAGCTGTTGTTACATTACAAAAGTAACAGTCAATTATGTTATATGCTTCAAGAAACCATATAAAGTCCTTAGGCGGATAGTGCTTCTAACTAACTGCAGCCTCTCTCTCTGGTTCATAAGGTGTGGATGATAATATCTGAACGGATCGTTTAGTCCAAGTTCTCATAAAATGCCGTTTAATATATCAATAAACCTTGGCCATAAACGATTTTATAAGAGGTATTGTACAAAACATGCTTGTGTTCTCCAAAATTAAGTACAATTACCTTAAAATTTTGGTTAAAAGCTGTAAAACTACAATACGATTTTTCAAACAAGGTTACATTACATATTATCTTTCGCTTATTATAAGTACATTTGCTGAGTTGTTCATTTATATTTATCCCTAAAATATGGCTAACTAAAGTAATTAACGATCTGAATAAAGGGGAATATACATAGGTATAATAAAAATATTCTGATATGTTGATCTGATCCTTGAGGTACAACTTATGCGCATGTTTTACCCGATCATTACACAAATAAACTGTTAAATTACAACCAGCTGGCCGGAGGTAAGTAAACATTTTTAACTACGAGCTGCAAATACACAACGAACATAACAAACAAGCTTTTGAATAAAAATATTTTACTTTTCGTTAGACGTATAGCACATATACATACATTCAAGTCAAGCTTTATCAACACATAAGCCAATAATTAAGACTAGTATAATAAAATGACTAAAAATGAAAGTTTATAACTAGATTTTCTCTAGCAAATTGAAAATGCTGATAAGAGTTCATTTGCTGAAACATACTTCAAAGTGTTTTACAACTCTTCTAAACGAATTCTTCAGACAAGAAAGATAGAAACTTGTCAATAAAAGATTTGTATTGTTAATATTTTATACAATGAATTATTTCGTGTTTCACTTTAAACACGTCCCCAATAAATCCTTTACAAACTTCACGTAATCTTCTTGTTTCCTGGCATAACAAAAC